ATGAACACTGTAATAGTAGTGAAAATAAGGCCTGAAAAAAAAAAAAAATTCAGGCCTGTACGAGATTTGAACCCATGACCTCTGTGATACTGGTGGGGGTAGTGAGGGTATTTCGCCATGGATTATGGAATGCCATTCAGGAGGCGTTGTGGCCGAGTGATTAGGGTGCTGGACTTGTAATCAGGTGTCCTGGGTTCAAGTCCTCCACTCTGCCACTCACTGGATTTGTTCTCAGTTGCCCCCAGTTCAACTCCTCGGCTGCGCTCTGTAAATAGCCCACTGGTCTGCCTCCTGCCAGTGGGGATTTTGAAGCACTTAGTTAGTCTACATTGTGGCTGAAAAGTCCCTATAGGGGAGCTTCAATTAACATATTTTTTTTATTCTGACTGACGTTATTAGGTCTACTCTAACTTTGAAGAAATTCTCAAATGCTTTACATCAATGCTTAATAGTAATGTATTTTTAGTTTAAAACTTTAAATAGTTAGCACTGCATGTAAAAAAAAAAAAAAAAAAATCATAGAACCGGGTGCTGTTGAATTATTGAATCGTTTATTTATTTAATGTCTTTCTAATTTTGATTTTGGTTGTATTTCTGTCACAGAATAAAAACACTGAAGACGTAATTCCTCTTCGCAAGGTGGACTTGGGATTTAACACAGGAGGTTTGTGGTCTCTTCTTTTTTTTTCATCGTCTGCGCATGTCATATTTTCGGGCCCGAAGTCAGGCGGTAATCGCGCCTTTCATTACAGTAAAGGAAAAGGGCAATCGCTCGAAACTTAATTTCGTTTCAGCGAGAAAAGAATGCTTTGGTCAAAAGGGTATTATTTTGTAAGTTGGTCATCAACTCATCAGTAGTAAAAAGCTAGACCCAGTCCTATGTTTCAATTATACTTCACCGATCCAGACAAAACAGTGGGTTGTTCTCGATGTTTTAGTCTACGGAGGGAATTTTTTGTTAACATTACGTCTACTGCTGGTGCTATTTTTACATTTTGCCACCCGTATCGACCCTACGTGTATGTCAGGTGCAGTCAAGGTTGTTATATTCTGAATGTGAGCTCCTAGATAACTCTTCAAATGTACAAAATAAGGAACTAACAATAATTTCACTTTAGGGCAATCCTGAATAAGCCCCACCATTTGCTTTGAAAGAACGCTGTCGTCGGACCAGCGAGATTCAAGATAAAAATTGTAGCGTTTTTCTCATGATCTACTCTATATGCTTTTTATTTTAGACTCTGCGGTCAACGATGCCGCCAAGATAATCAGGTTATTGCATGTCACAGAACTACGAAATCTTCAAACGAGGATCAACGAGGCTATAGTAGCAGTTCAGTCCATTACAGCTAATCCTAAAACAGATCAATCACTCGGGCGAGTTGGCGTGTGATAACTTGTTGTATTTGGGAGCACAGTTTAATGTCTCTCAGTGGCAGACATGGCTTCGTACCTTCTTATCCAAGGGTCTAACATACTACTTTATCCGTCAGTCGCACAAGAAGTCTATCTGTACATAGCATAGTAAGGTAATTTATTACACGACTCAGGCAGTCAGAGGGCCAATAACTAAAATCAACCAATCAAAATGCTCTATTGCCGGTCCAATATTCTCTAAGTATTGGACCGGGCACTGTCCCGAATGGTCCCGAATGATACCGCACTTGTGTCCCTTTGAACTTCAGTCGTATAATAAATCTCTTATTAACCAAGCTTGCTCGGGACCGTACTGGAAGAATATCGGCCCTCGGTCTTTTTTGTACGGACCTCGCTGCGCTCGGTCCGTACTGTCAAGACCTCGGGCCGATATTCTCCCAGTACGGCCCTCGCGCTTGGTTAATAAGATATATGTAAGAACCTTGATCTTCTCTTTTGTCTTCATCTCATTCACCGGTGCGTGATTGACCACTGACAGAACAGCTGTCGCTCTTTGNGAAACATTAAAACATGACGCAAACTTTATATTTTCTACGCCAATCTTTTCTCAAGCGCTTCGACTCTTTCAGACAACCCTGATCCGCAAGACCTGTAGAGAAAACAGTTTGCTGACATCTTTTTATCTAGCAAAACAAGCAATAAGTTTTAGTGCAAACTTAGAAAACAGTTCTTTTCATAGACAGATGGATGAAACCCTTCATTCAAATACGGCATTTTATCAAGTTAAAAAATACAGCAATATTAAAATTTGGTTTACACAAAATCCGTACGCGATACAAGTTATATATTTAACAAATGGTAAACACCACAGCGTACACTATTGAGTTATGGATGCACGCGGGAGGTTGCTAAGCACGAAAGAAGCGTAAGAGTCGCTCGAGGCGATAGCCGAGAGCGACTCTAGCTTCTTGAGTGCTTAGCAAACCTCCCAAGTGCATCCATAACTCAATAGTGTACGCTGTGGTGTTTACCATTTGTTTTATAACATAACATTGATACATTGTAGCTAAAGAGTTCCCTTTTATTTAACAAATCTTACGTGACCAGAAAAAAACAAGCAAGCGCGGAAAAACAGTCTTTGCATTTGCTCACGTCAGCAGCGTACACCCTTGGGCAAATGGGGGACGCTAAATTGACCAATCAGAGCGCGCGCTTTACTTTGGTTATGCTATAATGTGACTTATCCGCTGAAATTTCGCAATCTGAACATTTTATGAGCCCTCAGAAGACGACTTCAATGTCACATGTTTTTGTTGGCCTCCGGCCGCCATATTAATTTTGTGCCCATCAGAGGGACACAAACATAGAGTCCCTACACAAAGCCTTGTAAATTTGAGTGAAAGGTTTCTTCGAATATCTCCCGCACGAAACATCGCACAGACCTGACTCTGAGCGAGACGGCTTGAATATTTATCTCCTTTTTTCTGTTTGATTCTCGACTTTATTTGTTAAATGGTTTTGATGATAGTGTGACAGTCGACAGTGAAAACCGGCAATACACACTAGCATTATGTACACAGCATCAGCGATTACCATAGTCGTATTAGTATTCCACACTAGGAACGGAAATGAGGATTAGCTTTAACCACACAGTATGTGAATAGTTGAGAAACTAGAATTTTAAGTTTTAAAGAAGGACACCAATGCCTTCGTTTAAAAATAAAAAGTATAATAAGATAACTCAAGAAAATGCTAATGGCACTACATTGGCAATTATGTTTTCGTCACGCGAGATAAAAAAGATTTTGTCCAAAATCTCTCAAATCTGTTTCAAATAAATAAAATCTGGTTAACCTTCTGAGAGTGCTTGCTGCTTCACATCAAGAATTTGTCTTCTAAACATGGCTGCAAGACACACTGTTACTAGCTGTAGTGATACCACACCAAAGGAAAGCCCACCGATCAGGGCTAAGTTATCTTTAAACCACTTGACTGACACGTTCAGGCACCCTTCCATGTGAATCAAGTCCTGGCGCTTGGTCGGGCTCAATTCGTTTACGCCGTACCCACACTGGCGATTCGTCTGCTGGTCCTCTGTCTTGCAACAAGAAAACGGAACTCCACAGGCTGATAGAGAAGGAGCTGTGCAGTTGAAGTAGATATTCGCCTGCCAATCGGTGTAGGACCGAGAGCCGCAACAACCCAGTTCCGTTTGCGCCGAGTCAATCAAGAAATGAAGATCGGGCTTGTTCGGATCTCGGTAGAACAGGATGGCGTTTTGAAGCTTCTCGTCGACTTTTTCCTCTAGCTTATCGCTGTTTATGAAGCCGACTATTCCGCAGACGACCTCCATGATCAACAGCACCGTAATGATCCCAGCGTAAAAAGCCAGCAGGCAGGTATTTTCCCTCAGAGCGCCGATGCAACCAGTAAATGTTATAATAAACATGAGACCCCCGAATACCACAAATAGAATGGCCGGGTCATAATACAAGTCAGTGAGCTTGCTATACACTTCTCGCTTTTCCACCATCACAAAAATTCCAATTCCAAGGACAAGAATGCTCAAGAACCAGAAGAGATCATTGACAAAGAAGATGATGTATTTTATTATCCTGGATGGATCTTCCGCGTGCGAATCGTGAGGATGTACTTGGGTCATTCTTTGTCCGATTCTCAGACGCTGTCTAGCCGCAGTGCTATACTAAAATATCAATGAATAATTCTGTTATGAGAAACACAGAAATTCCTTCTACCTGATGCTACGTTAGCGACAGAGTTTTAAGGGACACGGATGAGACAAATCGTCCTACTAAAAAAGTTCAGATGCTGCGTTTATACAACATTGACCAGTCGCTGTAGTATAAATTGTTACGAGTTTACCCGTACCTTTCTCACATTCCAGTCAGAGAGCACATCGAAGGCATCGACGACCTAACATCTGGGAATCGAAACGAAAAAAGCAAGTTTGAATTCTTCTGTGTAATTCCATAAGGAAGATTTTATTGTTTAATTGTTTCTTGCTCGGATACAATAACATCATGCAAAGAGAAAATGCAAATCATTCGTCATCATGCGTGACCTTTGGTTATGAAACCTAGCAACGTTCAAAACAGAGCTATAGATAAACGTCAATCAGTCCAATATCGCAAGCTCGTTTTCAGCCGTTGTTTGGTGTTGTTACGAAACTCACTTACCAGAATGAGACTAAAACAAATGGCTCTTTGTCATAAACAGTGTTTTGAAGCAGCTTCGTCTTCGTAAAGTAAAACGTATATGTGCACGTTCCTCGCAGTAAAGCACTATTTAAGCAATAATGAAAATCAGACCTGAAAAAATTCAAGCCTGTACGGGATTCGAACCACTAACCTCTCCGATACCAGTGCAGCGCACTTGTACGTTTCATAACCGCAGTTCATATATATGTATTTCATATATTCGTTGTGTAAAGGGACACGTTTTGTACGACGTTTTGGCTTGGTTTCCGATTTTGTTTCCTGTTTAGTTGTAATGACGTCATGGTTTTTAATCACGTTTCTCCCTGATAGGTGAGATGTGGAACCCCCATTATGCGAACAGACCAATGTTCTGTAATGCGTGGTTCTAAACACAAATCAGATCGGTTGCTAGTAGTAAAGAACTTTATTTGCTGAGCTTTTTTTTATTTTAAGAGTTCGTTTTTAGGTGTTCAGTATGTGATTTTACATATTGACCGCATGTTATTTCTCAGTTACTCTCTCTAAAAAGATCAACAGAGGTTGATATCAATGCTCCTTCAGCCATCATGATGTTTAAAGATTTAGAGACAGAAATGAAATGAGGGTCAGTGACCAAGTTTAAGAAAGGCAGTATTGTAGCTCGTGAGACGAGCCTCACTTAGGTGACAGCCAAGAGCTCTCCACGTCACGACAACCATGTCACAAGAAAAGTTCTTTTTTTTTTTTTGCGAAATCTCTTAAAGAAACTAGCATTGAATTGGAGACGATTGCAAGAGACGAACCCCTGAGATGAAATGACTGAAAGCAGAAGCAGGTAAGAAAAAGAACTGAATTAAGGCACATTCCTAACAAGGGTATTTTAAGTTCATATCGACGATTGAGGCTGAAATAGAACTTGTCAGCTTTAGCAGTCTTCGTATCAGGATTGTTGCGTTTGTATTTCGCGCAAATTTAGCTGTCTTTTTATTTGGATTGTTACGTTAGTACCTCCCGCGCAAATTTAGCAGTCTTCCTATTTGGGCGGATTTATACATCTCACACGTACAAACTGGGCAATTTTCTCATTTGGATCGCTATATAAGTACATCTTCTTTTTCAGACTGTCATGTTGGTATCTCGCGCAAATTTAAGTCTTTGTATTTGGATTGTTACATTGGTATCACGCACAACTTTAGCTGTCTCTCTTTTAATTTGGATTTTTACGATAGTGTCTCGAGCAAATTTAGCTCTCTCCTTATTTGTATTGTTACGCGGTTAATATCTGGCGAAGATCATGAGCTACTTTTATTCAATGTGGATCGATACCTTATTTTCACCCTTATTTTAACGCACAACTTTAGCTGTCTTCTTGCTGCTACGTTAGTATCTCGCGCAGATTTAGGTGTCCTCTTATTCGAATTGTTATTTCAGTACTGTCTCGCGAAAACTCGGCTGTTTTTTTTTTTTTCGGACTTTTTTTTTTTACGTATTTCGAAGGAGACAAAGGTTTAAATAAGTAGATTTATTCAGATTTTTTTCTTACTTCCTCCTTATACCTATCATTGATTTTTCTTCGGCATGGTATTTTTGCTTTTGAATATCCGCTACTGGAGTAAAACCCACTTATGATAACCGTTACTCTTTGGAATTAAACTTCGAATTTTTTTGACCCTCCAAAGGCACTGTTGAATCATGGTCTTGGGTAAAGCACATTCAGAAATTTAATATCATAACTTGCAGATCAACGTCTCACATTCCAACCAACACGTGTGCATATGGAGGGGGACTAAGGACAATAATGTAGTTCAACATTTACGGTTGCCTTTTATGTCGTACTTGGATGTAATATATTGTTATTTTGCAGGGTTAATATTAAACCTCACTCCATCATAATTGAAAAACTAAAATGCGATATGCCGTACCTCATGCGATAGGCCGTACCTCATGCGATTTCAGCAAAACAAAATCCACGGGGGGAGGGGTGGTTAGTATTTTTTTTCACCGCACATTGTAAACTCTGCGATGAGTTACTCTCAACTGTAGTGCTCGAATCGAGGTTCCTTGAGGATCCGTCCTTCTCATTGATTTGCGAACGCGATTTTCTTGAAGTTTTACACCACGTGACAAAAGATGTCCCCGCATTCTCTTATAACCACAATTAGGAAATTCATGACTAATTGATTCTACAAGGGCATCTAGTTCTCCATCAGAAATATCCAATATGACCCCCTTAATGATAAATCATTTTCACGCAATCTGCGATGAACAGTCTTGACACTAACACTCAAAATGTTTACAATGTCAGTTGCCTTTAAACCATAATCAAAGTAAAGTTGTAGCTGCTCAATTGATAGAATAAATTTGGGTCTGCCTTTGCTACCAGAACGCACAACTGCGGGTGAGTATGGCGGCATACTGTCGAGACCTTCTAAAGAAGCTAAAACGGATAGAGCTAATTGTAAATGGCGAACAATGACAGATTCTTGGTCGAACGATTGACCAAATTGTGTTATTACTGTAAGAAGCCATTCTAATCTGTATCTCAGATAGTCTACATTACATGTACCAGAATCCAAGTGTCGAAGTGCACCACTGACGAATAACCTCTTTTGCATTAATAATAAGCAAATCTTGCGTTCTACACTGTTGTCCTTGATTCGACGCCATTTTGAGGTAAAGACTTGTTTCCATATCTTAAAGTGCCCTTGGACGTGAGGTGCCTGGGAATGAAATGAAATCACTGGAATATAATTAGAGCCGAACAACCGACAATTTACGACTCCGAACGTTCCCTATTCTTGCTGTGCACAAATTTTAAGTCTCCTGACGTGTGTGTTTTGAGTCAAGAGAAAACATCTGGCTTAGTAAACATTACATCCAGCATATTTCTGTCGCTTAAGGTTTATTTTCGCCGATAAAAAAAGAAATCAAAGAAATGAAACCTCAAGGGCGGTTTCAGCTATAGAAACGAGTAGCTGCACGACGGGTTTGCGTTGTTTCCATAGCTCAAACCGCCCTTGTGCTTTTCCAAAAATCGGTTTCCGGTTCCGGTATTGAAAAAAACTGTTTCGCGCTCTTTTTTAAATTAACCAGAAAAGAATAATCTGATATCTTAGTTTCTTTAGTGGAGTATATTTGGGCAATGGCAAGCGATGCAGATGTTGCATCTCATTTATCGGAAATTTTCGATTTACGTTTATCCAGCAAGTCCGGCTACGTTTACCAATCTTGCAAGATCGACGAAATTGTCAAAGAATGGGAGTTGTGTACAAACTCATCGTTCACTCTTTAAGTGCTGGATGACAACTTTGGGAGTATTGGTAAGTCTGACGGTGCAAATAAGCCAAACTCTGTGTTATTCTCCCATCTATTTACTATAAAAGGGGACCAACTACATCCTCAGTTGGACTAGTTCTATAAAGGCACTGGGAGAAGGAACAGCACAATACATCACCAATCAATCTGTTATGTTTAAATTTTATTTTAGCAAAAAAGAAGATATATTTTATAAGATGAATTGCTAGTTTTTAGATTACAATTGAAGCGCCCACCCTTCCCCTCCCCCATGCTTCTCCCCTCTGTATTACTCCCCTTCAAATAAACCCCCCATCAATGAGGCCTGAAATTCCATAAGCCCCAGTGGGCTTAACAGACCTTGTATAGTATATGTTTCAACAAACTCTCTAATACGATCTTTACAAGACTGGGGTAGAATTCACATTATGAGTGATAAGAATACCCAGTGACAAAATCACTTGTTTGCAGACACAAAATTATAGTTCTCTGTTAGACCCATCAGCTACAACACACAAAGTCATGTGGGAAGATCAAAAATTGAAATTTGATGGCATACCATATTTTGTTTTGGGG